TCTTGAACGTGTGGATTAGAGTGTTTGATGTGCGTAAGTGCATGATTGAGCTTCAAAGGGGCTGATTAGAGTGTTTGATGTGCGTAAGTGCATGATTGAGCTTCAAAGGGGCTGATTTGAGTGTATGAGGTGCATCAGTGCACATTTGAACCTAAAAGGAGCTGATTTGAGTATTTCAGATGCATATTGTACCTTGAAGCCTAAAAAGGGCTCAATGAAGTGATTGAGGTACAATAGGGCACATTGAGAGCTAGAAAGGGCTGATCTTGGCCATTTGAGTGCAAACATGGCCACATTTGATGGTGAGAGTACTACGATCATTGACAATTTTAAGGGTGAGAACTCCAATCTTAAAAAATTCAACATGGAGTTGGTGTTGGCATCCATGGATCTTTGGAAAATTGTGGATGATACCGAAGAGCCTCCATCTTTTGACCAAGACCCAAAGGTGAAGAAAAACTATGATCAGTGATAAGAAGGCAATGTCCATCATTGGACTCAACTTGGTGGACAATCAACTTGTTCACATCAACCAACTTGCAAAGAAGCCACAAGGACATGGCATATATTGTGTATCATCCATGAGATGAGAAGCTTGTCGAACATCTTCTTCATTTGCAACAAGTTCTTCATAAGCAAGATGCAAAAGGGAGGGGACTTGTTGAACCATGTCAACCAAGTGAAAGCCCTTGCTAATCAACTCACTTGCTTGGATGTCCCTGTGAGAGATGAAGATGTGGTCATGACTTTGCTTGAGAGCTTGCTGCCCTCATTTGAATACTTGATCACCACCTTGGAGACCTTATACATGAAGGACCTTACTATGGAGATTGTATAAGGTCTCAATCATTGCTTAGGCTTAGAACAGTAAGACAAAGGTTCAATTTTTGCTAGAGCCAATTCCATTCCCCAACAACACCCTTGCTTACTGATAACTATGTCTTCAAATGTAGAAGGAAACAAACTTTTTTGTGGTGTACTACTTTTAAGGCCAGATGAATAAAATCAAGAGAAATGCCAAAGGAAGCTTTTTTAGATTGAAATCAAAACACAAAGTAACAGATTACTTTTGAAACCCATTATACACAAACATGGAGAGGCCCGAAGTTGCCAAAATAACGCACAACTTGAAAAAGGCTTACCTTCACAGGAACCTCAAGAGCAAGCTTCCCTTTCACGTAAGAGTAATGAGTTACAATTAATTCCAAAGTAGGAGGTCTCTGGCTTGTACAAAAAGAGATTCAAGAGGTCGATTCTGCAATAGGCCCAAGAAGATAACGCCCTAGCTATAAGCCAATTGCACAACAAGAACGGACTAAAAGTTTGAATGTAATCACAGACTCCAAACCCTAATATCTTTAAAAAATAAGCACGCAAAGATCACAATTCAGAATGCCAAAGTCGGAGCTCGGAAACCTGTAATCCGCGCCTTACCAACCCGTCTGTCAAATTCTTGCTATAGCAGAGCCGATCTTATATCTCACCCTCCAAGCATTCAAGCTCTCTCCAATCTCATACTCCCCAACCATCCCGCCTTACAACTCCCTCTGAAACAAACCTCTCGTCAATACATCATGACAAACATCACACCTGGTAAGTAACTCCACATTTTATACAAACGCTACATCTACTAACAAACATCAAGCCTAAATCAATCAGAAAAGTGCGGCCGCCACTGGCTTTGATATTCACCATCACCCCGAGAGAATAGCAACACTGTCAAATTTTAGGAGTTTTAACAGTAGTTTAATAGTGCAGGGGAAGCTTCAAACTTATGATATGATTTAGCCTCCACAAACTAAGCACGTATTGCCTCGATGCTTGATGCAACTTGCAAATCTCTCATGATGCACCCTCATTGTTGGGATCAGCAAACCCTCAGCAAGCATCACTGGAAAGAATGTATGCGTCCTTATTGATTAACTTTTCACAAAAATCTGTCATATACTCTGATAATTTGGACTACTTGATTCAGACACAACTGACTAATTTTTGACAAAAACTTTATCAATTAGGATGCTAATCCATGTCAGCAGCCGCTCTCACACTACAAGGAAATCAGTATTTGTTTCAACTGAAAGTAACTAAATTGAGTGCACCGTACGCACCCACAATCGCACCAGTGCGTCCCCTCGTTCCTATATTCCACCGTCACCTGCGTCTTGCCGTCTGATTCACCTCCTGCTGCTATCATTGAGCCCTGATTAGTTTGAGAAGTGAGGTTGGAGAGCAATGCTGTATTGCCCCTGAATCTAACAACCAACCTGACGAAGATTCTATAGTATGAGCCTCAAATTCTACTAAATATGTTTCGAGTTTGTCTCCTGAAGAATAGTTTTCTTTGCTGCTGGGGTCGGAGGCAGATGAATCACCGCTCTCCAGCGAGTTAACGTGTAGCTTCTTGCTCTTTTCGTGTGTGAGGTCCTTAAGTTTTCCATCTAGCTTTTTCATTCTTCGGACGATCTGCATTATGTTGAATATCAAACCGCCTCCGAGAGTGGACCAGAATTATGGGGCCTCCCACAATTATGATTTCACCGTACAGACACTCATGCGAAGATCAGATACAAACGGTGGAACTAGTCGTTTACCGAAATGTAACAACTTACAGTTAGAGCTAAACAGAAAAAGGAAGGGTAATTATTATTCCGATTCCAGGAGTCCCACATTATAAACAGCAATGCCAAGCTCGAATGTATCGTATCATTGCCACACAGTATAGCACACAGTTCTGTAGTGTTCATGAATGAACAGTGTGCATGTGTGTGAGTCTCTATCTGTATTGTGTGCGAGTCCGTATCTGTATTGTGTGCAAGGGTCTCTTAAATCAGGGCGAGTGTACAAGTGTGTGCAATCTAGGACATCAGAAGTCTGCGAATTTTAGTTTTCCAATACCTCGCAGTCGCGCTCCCAGTGACCTAGTCCGCCGCAATAGTTACAAGTATCTGCTTCTTTTCCCTTCCGTTGCCCAGATTGTCTCTCCTTGCTACTCCCTTCGACTTTCTGAGTGCGATATTCTCTAGGTTCGGCCGATCGCCAGAATTTGTTGATTTCGTTGGTCGGTAAGGCTTGTTCCGCCGGTCGGTAGGGTTTCGTCGATCTGTGAACCCCGCCCTGCTGTAGTCGCGACTTGATTTTCTGTTTGCCTTGGGACCACATACAAACAACGCCTCTCCAATTCCCTCTTTCTCTGCATCTAAACCAATCTGTACCTCTTCATCGATTGGTCTAGATTCTAACTCAAAAAATGCGGGCAATCTGTCTTTTGCTGTCTGCGCTCTGATGAAAAGTTGATAGGGGCATGGGAGTGAATTGAGTACAAGCAAAACGACAAGATCCTCAGGAATGCCAACATCTATTTCTGCCGACTGATCTACGGTGTTCTTCACGTCCATCAGGCACTCTTCCATGCTCACAGATTCTTCCTTCCTCATTCCTAAGAAGCATCATGCTGCGTGACCAGGTTTTTGACTCGTATCTGGACTTTAGGTATTCCCAGCAAGAATGAGGGTCGTTGAACTTACGAATAAGAGGGATGATCGGATCTTTGACAGATTCAAAGATTACGTGAAGCAGTTTCCTCCGGAGCTTCAGATCATCATCGGAAATGAGTACGCTGGCCTCCTTGCTCACGTGCCTCCTAAGGTTATGTTTCTCAAACATGCTCTGCATTCGAAAGGACCACACAGCGTGGTTACTTTGGCCCTCTAATCTGCTAGATTTAGGAATAGAGACATCGTTGATGGCTGCTCCTCTGATTAGTGATCTGCCTCCTTGGCTCAGTGTAGTCTGCGAGCCGCTGTCTGTTGCCAAGACTTAATTTCTTTCTGGGTTGACGCCTTGTCATGCTCGTAGATACTCAAGAATGTAAGGACACGATTGGTTGTTGCGCTACAATAGAAGCTGGCTCTGATTCTACTTCAGCCGCCACGAATACGCGGACACCCTGAACAGGACAGTGGCCACTCGAGCGCTAAGGGGTATCAGTTGAAACCATCCGCTCTGATACCATGTTGTACAGTAAGTAAACACACTACTAGAACTAAGTAAGTTGATTAGAATGCCGCATTGGAGCTTAATATAGTTCCCAGGAATTAGGGCGGCGGCCAAAGATTACATCACAGTCATACAGTTGTATAACGGAACCCTTCCGAAAGTGTGGCAGGAAGAGTTGAGTCTGTGTCTGTTCGTCTAACACAGGTCAGCGCATACTGAATTCGTATAGTGCTCTTGCTGGGATACCTGTCTTAGAAGCAAGGTTTGAGGGACTAATGTACTACACTTGTAGGGCATTCTATTTTGAGCGTCGTTGGTTCCCGAGTTTGTCGAACAAAAGTTGATGTCTGATGTTTCTTGCGTATGTTCTGTGACTTCGAGTGTCACTGGTTGTCTTGAATCACGTACATTGATTAGTACGCACACATTTTCAGCCAGACAGTTGTCACTGACATTTTAACCTCTGCTCGGGAATGGGCTAGAATTAAACCGTTCACAATCTGTGCATTGGACGTAAATTCAGTATGAAGTAGACTTAAAAGAAGACACTTCAAGTACTTTCTCCCACTCAGTACGTATATCCCAGTAAAGTATACCAAAATCAAAGACAAGTATGCACGATCAAAAGCAGGCCAAAATCCCTAACAGTGAAGCCTCCTTGACCGTGAATCAGACAAAACTGTCTAGCAGTGTACATTAATTTGGGTCCTCTGTGAGACCAGATAAAATTTTCTTAAACATATGATAATGCGTACCAAATGTGTGCAGCTAATAGATTACTAACATTGAGAACAAATCAAAACACACATTCAACATGAGCTGGAGTCAAGTGTCATATGTATATGATACATTTGAAGAGGGATAACGCAAAAGCAGCGAAGCGCTAATCCGAGAGACCAACCTGTCAATAGTTGGTGAATACCGTACTCACTTCGCCTAAACAAAGTTCGAGAGAGTAACAGGCATGTGCTGCTTTTGAACTTGAAAATACATCAAATCATCCATTAAACGGTTTAAGGCAGTGCATCAAATTCATATTCTTGTGGTAGTTCAGATTTGAACAATTGGCGCAGACAATCTGCTTACCAAACAGCACCTGGTATCTCTGGGTCTGAGAGACTTGCAAATTCACCGCTGTGAGAGACCTTCGAAAAAAATAATTGGAGTTCCTGAAGTAAAAACTCATATTGGATATTGTGAGAGCATATCAGTGAGGACCACACCATCCTCTCAAGAAACGAGCAACTTAGTACAGCTCAAATTCTTTTATCACTGCTAAAGATTCCGAAACGACCCCTATGTCGTATGGACGTCACCTGTATTGGACGCGCAATTTAGGAGTGCTGCTCCAGAGTTATATTCGATCGATCCAACTCCCGTATAATGGATCGTGCGACGTTTTCTGAATGCCATCCATGTTAATTGCAATTTCTGCCTCATACCCTGTTTACACATTGCAGGCCAGGTGGTGGGAGAGGCGAGTTTTAGCAAATACTATCCCAAAAGGTACGACTTTCAGGTTGATTTCACTTTACAGTCTCTCTGTAACCTCAATGATCTTTGCTTGTATACGTGCTTGTAATGACGGCTTCTTCATAGAAACGTCATAAAGCTCATGCCTCAAAATCTGTAATCAAGATTGTCTTTCAAGCCTTCTGCCAACACTTACGAACTTGCCACTGACCCACCGTCCATACTTTGATGTTGCATTTGCATGAAAACTAGAACTCATAAGCCAATGTGAACCTGCCAAGAGCAAATAACTCTCCAGAAGATGTTAGATCTTTGATGACGGTGGGTGCTATGAGAAGAATCCTGCTCTCGCTTTCGTCACTGCAACCGCACCACCCGTTCCCAAAACCTTGCTGCAATCCAACCTTTCTCCACGATTACGCCGATTCCAACTCTTTCAGAGACCTCTTTTCTATACACCGTATATCCCAACAACGTAACAACCATAACATTCAACAAACACCCCTCGTGGCGGATCCCAAACACCTGTTCGTCATAAGTTTCGGGGCCACAGCCCATGTTAGAACGGGAAAGCACTGCAAACTCGAGGGGCACCATCGTATCAGTGTCAGTTGGCAAGACAATCCTACCCATCTTCGCAGGCGGCAATGTTTCTGACAAAATCTCGAAGACCGAATGAAACTTGCTACCATAGACAGGAACCTGACTCTGGTCCTCGCCTGTGATCTCGTCGAGTTGATTGTTGACCTTTTGGACCCTCAGCAATGCAACGGTGGTATAGAACAGTAGCGTTCCTGGCGCAAGATTCGCGCCCTCCTCAACAAGCAATGAATCTGATGGGCTTGAAGGCCGTCGATATTTGTCAATCTCCACCGGGCCACAGTGCTCCCAGAGGTGGCGACCGATGGCAATCCGCCTGGCTTCTCCATCCGGATCAATAATGACCAATTCATCCACCAGCGATCGCAAAGCTCCAGGTGGACCATACATGAACCCGAAAAGATCAAAATACACCACACTAATCTCCCAGCCAGCCCAGGACCAACTTGGCGTGACCAACCCTTTTTCACGACGGCGGTTATGCGACGGTGCATTTAGCGCTGGTTGCCACAGCATAGCATCTTCGAGCACGGACAGCGGCACACCAAACAGAAACGCTGTGTTCGGATCTAAGGGAGTGATTTCTATATCGCGTGAAAACACGGTTATGATGGCAAAGATAGCATTGTAGATGTCAGCTACATTTGTGAGCTGCCTTTGGGTATATTCCTCCAGTATCTGCATGAAGGCTTTGGCGTAGGCTTGGTACCGGCTCTGCTGATCCTTCTTGTTTCTGATAGAGTGCAGCGCGCTATATCCAAGGCCGTGGGATTTCCCTGGATACATTGCCGTGTCCTTGCTGCTCTCAACGATAACGTCTTCGAAGAACACATCGCGTTGACATTCGAAGAAGAGTTGCTCGTTTGTGAAGAACAGTCCCCGTCGTGACAGTACATGCTCTTGAAACGTCCATCCACGTGTGTTCCACTTGGACGCAGCCAGTGTCTCGATGAGCATCCTGAGCGGGACGGCCAGCGACAGCGACTGGATTCTCTCAATGCGTTGTAGCACTTGACGTGACCCCGGCCCTAGCCCCGGGAGTGGAGCATCCGCCGAGTCTCCGCCGACAGAAAATATGGTCAGTATTGCGGCACCATAGATTGTAGCCATGCCCGCAATCTGGGCCTTTGTGTTGACAGGGTCATCTTGGACAATACACATGGCGTCAACCCACAGATACCTTTCCTCCAGCTCCCTCACGACCTTGATAGCATCGTGGATAGTTCTCGGCAACGCCACGCTCTCAAGACTGCCCCTATGACGTCGCTGATCCACATTCTTCAAGACTGTTTTGTAATTCGTGTCGATTATTCCCCACATATAACTAAGCGCAACATACCTGCAATTCTGGGGCGCCTCAACAACCGCCATTTGGGCCACATCAATCATTCTTGCGCCCTGTGGCAACTGCTCGGTGACATTCTCCCAGACATTGGCACAAGTCGGTCCATGTTCCTTCTCACAAATGGCCATCCACTCCTTAATCAGTTTGAAGTTAACCACCGCCCCTACTCTACGTCCATGATACGCGCGTTCACGTCCAAACCTGGCCGCATCATCTTCCATCATCTGCAGCTCCATTGTAAGGCTTACCTTCTCCTTCATTACCGTTCTATGAATCGCAATCGGTCGCATGGCACGGACTTGAATGCGATGAGCGCATGCAGTGAGCGGCCGGGGCACAACCTGAGAAGAATCTGCCCAGCCGCAGGGCCCTGCAAGCAGCTGAACACGCACCGATGTGAGGTCTTCACTTGTGTGGCGGTCAAGAAGCCAACTGCGGGAGATCAAGTGAGAGATCAAGCCACAGAGGCCGCAACTGCGCTTCTTCGAGAGGATTGTGGCAAGGGCGCCAAGGGTGATGGAGTGAGGCTCTCTCACGCCCTTGCTGAATATCTGGTCCAAGTCCAGGGTGTTACAGATTTTGCAGAGCGCCGAGTCGGCCAAGACTGGAGCACTGTTTTCGTCGAGAAACATTGCCATAGTCTTTCAGTGTAACCAGCAAATAACTGACTTCAACTGGTGGTGAAGTTACATAGCCATGGATGGCGTGTGAACTGGCCCCTTAAATGCGAGGCGGATTGGACCTCTTCTAAAAGGTACGAAGAAACCACAACCTGATGTCTGCACATTGCCATGTCCATTGAGACAGAATCTGCAAAATAACACCTGGTCATCTGCCAGGTCATATTGACTATGGGGTTGGATCAAAACTTCACTAACCATCTCGATATTAGTCTTGAATTTCAAAACAATCATCTACCGAACAAGGACAAACAAGGAAAGAACAATAACTCGCTAGGAAATTCAAGCCATCCCAACATTCCAATATATGTCCAACACCCTAACATAAGTGCAACATTGGATTCTCCTAATTTGTATATATCGTTCTTCTTAATTCATTGCGGGCACGTAGAGAAAGTAATTTTAAACAACAGTTGAGAAAGAAACCACGCACGTGAGAGCAAGACTCGCAGTTTAGATGATGATAAGCTTTTGAAAGTGACCCTTCAACGAGTACGATGGAGCAGCTTTCGATGTAATGCACTCCTGCAAATCAAGCTTTGGAGACGCTCTCACCAGCAGTAGCAAAACCCCCGACTTGAACTAACGAAATATCAATTCTAGAAATAGATATGAACCAATTGGTCAGAAAAAAAAGCATTAGACCTAACCCAGACTTAGGGAGAAGATCTGACATTTCCCCAAATGGGCTCTTCGTTTTTGATCAAGATATACAGATTATACATGTGAACACCAAATTTGGATGAGTGTTAATACGAGGAGCTATCACTGAGGATCTTCTGCGTACATCTGATAAGGATTCACTTCGGCAATGCTTGTTAAGCCATTTCTAACTATCAGATGTATAATGGTAGGTCACACACGGGATTAGTGTAAGGAAGTTGCAAAGCACAGACTGATAGCATTCAACGAGAATGCACTTATTCTAGAAATCAAGAAGGATCAGGAAAGCAAGGCACTGACTACTTGCAGGAATAGCATCGCCAATGATGGCCAAAGCAGACGCTGATAACGGACTCCTAATCAAGTCGGCAGAGCATGTCTCGATGGAGAGGAGATTCTTCCCTAATAGATTGCATCGATTCAAGCTGTGCGTGACAATGACCAATTAAGTAACCAGAAGCCACAATTTAATGTAAGCTCAATGAGGCCAATGGATTCACCTTCCGTGATGCAATCTTCAACTTCACTTCCTTAACGATGCAGTCAGGTCCAAGCTCCACCGATTGGCTCCCCTCCTTCACACGGGGTAACTAGAGACAGAAGGTACCAAATCAACCATTTGAATTTGCAAGAATTTCAAAATATACAGCACATGTCACACCTCCAAATAAGCTTATGAACTTAGAACAAACTACCACCCAAGGCGTTGAATCCTCAGAAGCTAGGTTCTGGATTTTCAATTTGCATGCAAACAAAGTACACTAAATTACGTAAATATTCCCTACAAAGTTCCAGGAACTGAAGGATATCTCAAGGTCTACTTTACTAACTTGCCTGCCAGCAACTGCATGACGCCAAAGACTGCATAAACTTCACTCCCATCTTTTCCTCAAAGAAAGAGACCGAACACAGCAGACGTCCCTAGGCAAACTGCAAAGCGTGTGAACAAATGATACGACCCACCAGAGCAGCGCAGTCCTCTCACCTCACAGTTCTGCAACACATCGAGAGACAGAACAATTAGGTCTTGATCCAGTTCCAAATCAAACTCGAAAACGCTTCACAATTGGAACAACTACGTTGCAAGCCCTAAGTAAAACGGTATTTCAACTGCAACAGTGAATCTTCAATCACAAAATTTCCAAAGAGACGTCGCGAATTTCAAACTCTAGAGAAGCAAAATCCTTCAAACTCATCTTGCACCTGAGGGCTTACAAACTCGCAGTCGCGATGGCTACAGAAAACGACCCGACTTAAACTGCAAATCGAGTTTTAAGATCCAAATGCTTTTGTGCCTCTTAAACCCCAAAACTTGGGACCAAGAGCGATGGCGACCTGTTTCCAGCTCCGAACCACATGCATCAAGTCCAAATTGCTTCCCAGGTCGCGTCGCTGTGTAAATCGACCAAGCAACATTCTAGGATGCAGCTTTTTCACTATCACGTGCAAATTGATGATGACAAGAGACAATTTCCAAAGAGACAATAACATTATTTGAATGCATACTTGCACTCATTTTTTAATTGTTTTGTCGTAAATGGAAGAGATCATCCTATGTACAGTAATTTACAAATGACCTTATCCTCATGAAGAGGATATAAGCAGGGGACATATAAGATATCAATAGGGGACTTATAAATGATAATTACAAAATATATCAAAGCAAAGATAGTTACAATATTCACAAACATTACAAATTCAAGTACATACATTATAAATCACAAAATTCCTTGACTTATGAGAAACACTTCGCACAAAATGTTTACAGTTCAAAATGCGCTATATATTGTGAACATCATAAAAATTTTAAAAAGAAAAATTTTTAAAAGTAATAAATAAATAAATAAATAAACACATGCTCCTAAAACCTAAGTCCTAACCCTAACCCCCTAATAGAGCTTGAAGAAGGTGGATAAAGGTTGGACATTGGCAACATCACTCAAATTCAGTGAATACTATCACTAGCAAAAAAGGAGAAAGACCACATATTGCATTGACAAAGAGCTTGTCAAATATACCAACGCAGCTATGAGCAATCCACCCCTCAAGATCAATATGTCATAAAGATGGGCCAATGTCATGGACATACTCATGTAAGCTAGTAATTACATATACAAATAGGTAGAAGTAAGTAAAAGTAGGTAAAAGAAAGTTAATTCTATAGTATTTGATATGGAACCTTCCTAGAAGCTTCATAGATGTTGCTTTGACTTCATAGGTGTCATTAATTGACTTTTTGGATTAGAAACGTGGTCAACAAGTTGGCCATGTGCCATACATATTGTTAGCTTGAAGACCAAGGTAATTATGTGGCCTACACATAGAAAAACTTGCCTTGTAAGTCAAGGCATGTGTCCTACAAAGTCAACACATATTGGAGGTCCTATAGAATGTCGCCACATAGCCCCTAGTTAGATAGTATATATAGAGACAAGAGTGAAGCCTTCTTAACTCTTGTCAATTCTTTTCTTGCTTCCAGTCTAGTTTCAAGGGTCTCTAATTTTCTTATCTTTTGGCAATAGCCATTCCAGTTTCTCTTTCAATATACATACTTGTTTATTTATATTTTGTTACCTTTCTTTGAGTGAAGGCTCACTTGACTGAATTACTTTTTCATTGAGTTCTTATCCTTGACAGATTGACGAGACTATACCTACAATATCAAAGCTTTGTCTAATCTTGATTAAGAGTGAATTACTCCTTTTTCTTGAAAGGTCCTATTTTCTCCTCAGAGCCCTCTCCTTGTTTTATATTAAATGTTATTTTAGGATCTAAACATTACAAAGCCTCTGCCTTGTTAGATTTAGGAGCCTCAGCGTGTTTCTTAGATGAAGAATTTACCAAAAGATATAGCATATCTTTAGTAAAGAAAACTAAATCTGTTCATGTAGAAGTCATAGATGATCATCCATTGTCTTTTGGAGATATTACTCACGAAACCCTTCCTATAGAAGTAATAATCAATGGTCATAATAGCTTTGTAGTATTTAATATCATTAGATCTCCCTCTAATCCAATCATTTTAGATTTATCATGGTTAGAAAAATACAACCCTCAAATAGATTGGATTTCTCGAACTCTTACTTTCTCTAAAAGTATAACTAACAGTATAGTTAATCAAGTAGAGAGTCATAAGTCGAGTTCAATTAAACCTGTGTTTATAGGTGCAAAAGCTTTCTTGCATGCTGCTATGAAAGAATCACCATATATTATTTATGCCACACCTGTTTTTACTGGTGGAAAGACTTCAAGTGGCATTCCAAGCCAATATCAAGATTTTCAAGATGAATTCAAAAAAAAGAATGCAGATACACTCCCGGAACATCATCCCTATGATTGCTCAATTGATCTTCAAGGAGGAGCACAATCGCCATTCGGACCAATCTATCGTTTATCACAAAATGAGTTGACTGAACTCAAGGAGTATATTGAAGAAAATCTAGCCAAGAATTTCATACGCCATTTTAAATCTCTGGCAGGAGCTTCAATTCTATTTGTCAAGAAAAAAGATGGATCATTGCAGATGTGTGTTGATTATTGAGGACTCAACAAGATTACCATCAAGAATAGGTATCTACTACTTTTAATATTTGGACTTTTTGATCAACTGAATCAAGCTAAGATCTATACAAAAATAGATCTCCGGGGAGCATACAATCTAGTATGCATCAAAGAAAGAGATGAATGGAAGACTGCGTTTCGAACTAGGTATGGACATTTTGAATACAACGTCATGCCTTTTGGACTTACAAATGCACCAGCAACTTTTCAACATCTAATGAATGATGTTTTTCAAGATTTTTTGGACGATTTTGTGGTCTGTTATCTAGACGACATCTTGATCTATTCTAAGAATCTAGAAGAACATTAACTTCATATTCATCGTGTGTTACAAAAATTAAGAGATGCAAGACTCTATGGCAAGATAGAAAAGTGTGTATTCCACACTACTCAAGTCGATTTCTTAGGTTAAATCATTTCAAATGATAGACTTATGATGGATCATAAGAAAGTTCAAATTATTATAGATTGAAAGATCCCAAAAATGGTAAGAGATGTCCAATGCTTTTTGAGATTTGCCAACTACTATTGGATCTTCATGAAAGACTTATTTCGAGTTGTAGCACCACTTACACGTTTGACTTGTAAAGACAAACTCCAATGGAATGAAGAAACGGAAGCTGCTTTTGAATCTTTGAAGACAGCATTTGTTTCTACACCAATCTTGTATCGTGTTGATTTTTCCAAAGCGTTCTTTATGAAAACAGATGCATCAAACTTGCTCTAGGTGCGATTTTGTCACAAATGAGAATAGATGACAAACTTCATCCAGTAGCCTTTCATTCAAGAAAATTCTCAGCAACAAAAATCAATTATGAGATCCATGACAAAGAACTTCTTATAATTGTAGATTCTTTTCAAGAATGACATCATTATCTAGAAAGCGCTTCCATTTTAATCACCATGTATATGGATCACAAGAACTTCAAGTATTTCATGTCAGCACGCATATTAAATCGTCATCAAGCTCGTTAGAGCATGTCTTTATCAAGATTCGAGTTCATCATCACTTATCGACTAGGAAAATAATAAGGTTTGTCCGATGCCTTATCTAGACATTCTTATCTTATACCAAAAGAAGGAGATGCAGCTTTTGAGCAACAAAGAATGGTTCTCTTGAAGCCGGAGCAATTTCATCTTCGAGCAATAAAATCAACATTAATTGTTGATTTAACTTTTCTCAAGTAAGTTCAGTTAAGTATGTCCTCAGACCCTCTTGTTCATGATATCAAGGATAATTCTTCTAAATCTCATGATCCCTCTAAATTCGAGTTCAAAAACAATCTACTCTATTTCGAAGGACGCCTATATGTTCCAGAAGGAGAAGCACGTTTACGTATTCTTCAAGCTCGTCATGACTTTCCAGCAGCAGGATATTTTGGATACAATAAGACTTTGTAGCTGATATCTAAGGATTTTTGGTGGCCTCAAATGAGGAAGGGAGTCAAAGATTTTGTACAATCATGTGATGTTTGTTCAAGATCAAAAACTCCTCGTCATCGACCTTTTGGACTTCTTCAGCCATTACCCATTCAAGAACAACCATGGTCTTTTATTTCTATAGACTTCATCATGGATCTTCCAATCTCAGGTTCTTATGACTCTATATTCGTGATAGTAGATTGTTTTATCAAGATGGTGTCAAGGACAAGAACTCGATGAAAAAACAATTTAGACAAGTGAGCCTTCATTCAAAGAGAGGTAACAAAATATATATAAACAAATATATATATTGAAAGAGAAACTGGAATGGCTATTGCCAAAAGACAAGAAAACTAAAGGCCCTTGAAACTAGACTAGAAGCAAGAAAAGAGTTAACAAGAGTGAAGAAGCCTTCACTCTTGTTTCTATATATACTATCTAACTAGGGGCTACGTGGCGATGTTCTATAGGACCTCCAATATGTGTTGACTTTGTAGGACACATGCCTTGACTTACAAGACAAGTTTTTCTACGTGTGGGCCACATAGTTAGCTTGATCTTCAAGCTAACAACATGTGTGGCACATGGCCAACTTGTTGACTACGTTTCTAATCCAAAAAGTCAATTAAAGATACCTATGAAGTCAAAGCAGCATCTAGGAAGCTTCTAAGAAGCTTTCATATTAAATATTATAGAATTAACTTACTTTTATCTACTTTTACTTACTTCTACCTATTTCTATATGTAATTATTAGCTTACATGATTATAACCGTGACATTACCCCTCTTTCTAGGGACGAGTTCCATGAGGAGCAGTCATCATATGTTGAGGAAATCTATGATGCGACGAATTGTATTCACCACATACTTTGATCTCTGTTCTCTTCGAAGATGATTGATAGGGCCTCTCAACCATCGGTAGTGTCCCATACCAGGGCGGGAAGACCACCCAGTTATTTGATCATTGTTGAGGCCTTTGTAACTTCCTTCGAATAGAATATTTGGAATACCATCAGGAGTTGTTCCTACCTCTAACAAAATCACCAAACATCGGGAGTCCCTTCCCAAATTGTGATACCAAACGCGTTGTATCTCACCATCTATTCGAGGAAGAACATGTCGTTCTTGAAGATCTTCATCTCGATTGCGTCATCTTGAAGGTTGTGACAATCGTAATGTCTCGTCCGGCAAGTCATCAAATAAAGGCTCTAGAG